TTTTTATTCTTCCAGAGAAATGGCACTGAGTGACACAGAACCAGAGACCCCCAGGTCTGCCTTATCTGTGCTGTCCCTTCATCCCCCACCCCCACTGGGCTCATGGTGACATTACAAGTCCATTCTTCCTCATTTCAGCAAGTGACTGCCTTTTGTAGATTTCTTCCCTGCGCAGTTTTTTTATTCCAAGAGACAAAGGAAAAGCTGGCTAACCATAGACCTAAACATTTCTACAGATCATTTACAGTATTGTGACCCAGCCATCTTGTTTTTCTTTCTTTCTAAGAATGAGTCAGAATGAAAGTATTACAATCCCCATATGCCTTTAGGTGCCCCCTGAAATGAGAGTCCACTGGCACTTCCCCAAGACAGGTCAAAGCTATGCATTTGAGATGAAGTCTTTTCTTTCAAGAAAAGAAACAAACAGTGTTTGCAGGAAAAAGACCAAGAAGCATCATCTTAAAACACACTTGTTTGATTTCATTTCCACGATGCCAACTTCAGCTTCATTCACACTGTCATGACACTTAAACTTGTACAATTTGGTTCATCCTGAGCATTGTACATGGACTGTCAAGACATTTACCAGAGAGAAAGATTTATCAATTTTTAAAATTTCAATAAGGAAATGAGAATCAATGTCATCAAATTAAAATTATCTCTAATAGTGCATATACTCTGTTGTTTCGGAGCAGAACAATGAAATTTGTATGTCTGTTGTGTTATTAAGAAGTATTCTGGAAATGATATTAAATCTGAAATATTGGGGGGTATTTAAAGGAGAAGATATTTAATTGTGAAATGTCAATTAAGGATACACGGTTTCATTTATCCATTTCTACCATTCTTCTAAGGCCACGTGGAAAATTAGATACTTTCCCCAAATCTTAGCTTCATTGCCAGTTAACTATCCCATAGACATCAGGCACACAGTGGGCTTTTTGTGTGAAAGAAGGTGATCTACAGGATGTATAAGTACTTTTGGAATATTTATACTGTAAAGAGATACCTCAGTTTTAACAAGTGGCCTGGTAGCCAGCTGTGAGCTCTGCTGCAGAATGGCTGGTACTCCAATGACATCATCTGTGCCTCCAGCCCACCCCCAGAAAATGATACCGATTTGGATATCAAATAGGGCTTTAGAAAAATCAGCCACTTGCAGCTGAATCTATGACCTGCACACGTTCACACACATTCAAACTGTAGGACTGGTAAGTTCCTCTGGTCTACCTGGGCACTCAAGGAGAACTCTTTTTCTACTTGTACTTTACCTGGGATGGCCTTTTACAATTTTCTAAGTACGATTATGGAAACGTTATCACATCTTAACTCAGGACCTCCTGTAGAGGTAGGAAATATGAGCATCATTTTACAAATGGGAAAACTGAAATATCAAGACTAAACTTGTCAGAAGTAAATGGCAGATAGGAACTAATTACCCAAGTCTCATAATTTTTCTCTTCCTATCATAGTTGAAAAATTAAGAACACAGTTCAGGCATGAGTTCTAGTCACCTCTCTGTCACTGTCCAGCTGTGTACCCAGTAAATCACAAAGTTTCTGCAACTCAGTTTTCTCATCTGCAAAATGTGAATAATCCCTGCTCTACCTGCCTTACAAAGTAGTTTGTATGAGAGACACACAAAATGCATCATTCCTACCTTTTTCTTTGCTCATGCCGGGAAAAGAGGATGCCAAATTCTTACTACCAGAAAGACAAGAAAATTAAGACCAGATGGTATAAGGGGTGAGGATGTGCGGAAACCTAGTCCTGGCTTGTTCTCTAATTAGACATCTTTCTTTTGTCAAATCCAATCTTTTGTCAAATTTTTCTCAGTTTCCTCAGGTACATTTAGGAGGTTTTGCCAGAACGTCTGGAATATTTCAATTCAGTCCATGAGTGTTCTACCTCTTTTTCTTTCCTATACTTCATGCTGCCTCTTAGATTCTCTTTTCCTTAAAGATGAACATTTACGTGCCGTAAAAAGGCAAGTATTGCCAAATCAGTGTAACGTATTTGCAATTCCACTGTGATTCTCTTTCTTTTTAAAGGCTTCCCAGGAGCCTGTAGCAGACTAATGAAATCAAAATCACCAGGCAAAGCCTAATGAGGAGTAGGAGTCAAATTATTTTAGGAACTACACACAAGACACTGCCCGTGGCCTACTGAGATCATGAGCCTGTGTGACGCCTGACAGGGATAGCCCTCTCAGAAATGTCTCCTCCTTTCCAGGGATCATTAGTGATGCTCAGCTCTGGCCACAGTAGCCAATGTCAGCCCCTCAAATCTAATTAGATTTGGAGAGCAGAGGGAAAGGCAAGTTTTCAAGGTAGAATACGGAGCAGAGTTTAGGAAAAGAGGAAGCCAGGGCAGAGGAGGTGTTTCCACGTTTGTGTTTCACTACATCTGATGCAAAGAGATTTAGAAGTTTACAACACAATGATCTAATGCTGTAAAGAGCTAGAAAGAACATCTTTTCTGGACTTGAAGAAAGAGTCATTTATGGGGAGAAATCATCTTCAGGCTGCTTCCCTCATCCACATGAGCTGGAGGCCCAGTTAGAAACCAGCTGTGACTTCTCCAGTCATGGAGGAGAGGGTGTCGGTGATGAGCTGAACGCACACCAAGAGCCTGAGGAGTCAGTCTCTGTCCCAATTGCTGCCTGCCCGTCTCAGTCCACTTTGCTCCTGGCTAGGAGAATATTGTTCCTTCTGAACACCTCTTATATGCACACACACACACATACACACACACACACACACAAATACAAATACACACACGCACACACACATATTTTGACCCAACCATTTATAATTCACTAAATACTTCCATTACTTCCATGCCTATTATCATGATACCTGCATAACACAGTGAGGACATGGGGCAGGTGTCATAAATTTTACAGATGAGAAAAGTGAAGCTGAGCAACTGCAGGAAATTTTCCCAACTTCCCAAAGATAAAGGAGAATTTAGACCTCAAACTCAAGAGTCTTGTGAGCAAACCTAGTACTATTTCTGTCATCCAGAGGGAATCTAACCTTTGTTCTAAGTTAATCTAAACTTTCTTATTCAATGACTAAACTATGCAGAACAAAGAATGTAGGTAGATCTAAAAAGAAAAGAAATACATAGAAATGGCCCCTGAACTCAAGAAGGCACAATTTTATGAAAAAATCAGCAAATTATAAATGTTTGGCAAAAATCAAAGTTCCCACAGTGACCAGGACATGGAAGCAATCAAAGTATCCTACAGTAGATGATTAGATAAAGAAGCTGTGGTACACATATATAATGGAATATTACTCAGCCACAAGAAGAGATGAAATACTGCCATTTGCGACAACCTGGATAAACCTAAAGATAATCATGCTAAGCAAAATAAGCCAGACAGAAAAAGTTGAAAACCACATGATATCACATATATGGTATATAAACCTAAAAGCAACAAACAAACAGGACAGAGACTCATGGACATGGACAATAGGCTAGTGGTTACCAGAGGGTAGTGGAGGAGGGGGACGGTGAGGTAAATGGGGTAAAAGGGCTCAAATATGTGGTGACAGAAAGAAATATAACTATGGGCGGTGAACACACAATGCAATGTATATATGTCTCATTGTTGAATTGTACACCTGAAATTTACTGGCTTTTGTTAGCTAATGTCACCATAATATAAATACATACATACATACATACATACATACATAATAGCACATGCAATAATATACAGTACATAATACTTGATAATGATGATAAATGACTATATTACTGGTTTATGTAAAAAAAATCAAAGTTACATGTGCAATGATTCTTCAAAGCAGGATAGAGGAAAGCACTGGTTGGGGATTGTGCTAGTGGGCTGGAGGGTGCACAGAATTAATTTTCTGGAGGAGGGAGGTTTGGAGCTAACGTTTTCGGTCCTATTCTCAGAGCATCCACTTGGAGCATCTGTTGAAATCGCAGCAGATGGAGCACATCAGAAATGTATTTTCCTTTTTATCTTATCTTTAGTTCCTTGAAGAAACCTGGCACCTAGGGTACTGTGGAGATAAAATAAAAGTTCATTTTTGTATCATCATTTGTAGTGTAAAGACACAAACATGACTTGTTCCTGAGGCAGTTATTTCATTCTTTTTCCTCCTTTGTGGGTTTTATAATTAAACCTTCTGAAATGAAGACTAGCAATGAGATTTAAATGTAATATTTTCTCAACAATGCACTCAGTTGTTTTGTTTTTTTGTTTTGTTTTGTTTTTTGTGTTTTGCAGCATCGATGGACACCTAATCCCCTGCTACCTTTGTCTGAAAACCAAGAAGTTTTGTTCTACTGATCTAACTGCCTGAAATTTTTGCTGACATTATACAGGGGGAAAAAATGCTGATTCTGTCCTTTTTTAACCCATGTGTGAAACTTTGACTTGCAATATACTTATTCATTCTCTGAACCTCATAAAGATGTCTGAACCTGACTCTTCATCTGTGTTTTCAGGAAATGTGGAGAATGGCACTTTCCTTGAGCTATTTCCCACATCCCTGTCCACATCGGTGGACCCATCCTCAGGCCACCTATCAAATGTCTACATCTATGTGTCCATATTCCTCAGCCTTTTAGCATTTCTACTTCTGCTTTTAATCATTGCCCTCCAGAGGCTCAAAAATATCATCTCCTCCAGTTCCTCCTACCCTGAGTATCCAAGCGACGCGGGGAGTTCCTTCACCAATTTGGAAGTCTGTAGTATTTCCTCTCAAAGGTCCACTTTTTCAAACCTTTCATCATGATGAAAATGGAAGAATCCTTGAATGCCGCTGCAGCTTAGGTCTTCCCTTATGGGAAGTGTCACATGAAGCAGTTGCCTCATGAGAAAAATGACCTTTTAATTTTTGTCAACCAGTTAGACCTGTTTCTTCACGATTTATTTTTCCATTCATGAGGCTTTTCATTTATGAATGTAGAAGCCGATGTTGACAGAAATGTGTGCAAACCTCAAGGTGTATTTCACACAAACCACCTGACGAATCAGGAGTTGGCTTCTTCAAGGTGGATCAGTTCATTCCAGCCGTTGGACACCCGGGGCAGTTCCCTGAGGGCCTCGCAGTGGGTGCTGTCTGCGGACTCTGCATCTCATTTCTCTTACAAAACTGTGAAACCAACTGAGCCAGCAGAAACTGGCAAAATTAAGTCTGAGCTATTTAGAAGATATTTTCCATATTTAAAAGATAAAGCAGAAATACCAAATAAAAAAAAAGAGTCAATTTAGATTTAATGTATAATATTTCTAAAACTAGAGGCAAAAATATGCTAAATGTTTTATTTAATTTCACATTGACAAATGAGAATCACATTTATTGATGAATTAAGTTGTATTTGGAAAAGTTTTAGAAGAGTTTAACTTTTAATTATGATGCAGTTTGTAATGTATTTCTTCCTCCTGAGGTTTTTTTTCCCACTTATGTTATAATGTTCTAGAGTTGCAGAATTCTTTGTGGTAATTGCTGTTACTATTGCTAAGAGAAGAACCCAAAAAGGCAGCAGGAAGTTTTTATTTTATGCCCATAATTTCCATCAGTGGGAATTGAGTATATGGAAAATGTTAATTTAGTTGTGTTTTATACAATAATAACTCCTGGCAGTCATGTATGTCCCTTTATTCAGTTGCACAGTCTTTATAATTTTAGTACAGAATTATATTAAGTCTCTGAGATGTCAGATGTTTGTTTACTCTCATTAGGTTACATTGCTAATATATGTTATTATATATGCCGTGAATGTTACATGTCTCTGATAATTGTTGTATGTGAAGATAATACTCTGCATTTACAATTCTAGGACATGGGTTTGTATTAAAAATTATACTCAAGCTGTGCAGCTCCTGGAAGCCTGGTGATCCTGGGAGCTGCCCTACTGTGGTCAGCCACGCACTCTGACCTGGAGGCGCACACGTGGGCACAGGCATGGAATGTGGAGGAAATCAGGCTGCCCCTAGGGTCGGGGGAAAAAGCAAACTACAGCTTCGCAAGATAAGAATTTTAATTTGAAAAAGAAATGCCCCCCTCGGCATAAACGCTGAACTTGTTCAGCCTGCGGAAGCGTGGCATCAGCATAGCCGCGTCTTCCCGGGGCAACAGGGCCATCCTCGTCCTGATCACCTGCTGGTCTTTAGGAGTGAAGCTTCACACGCCTTTTGGACTGATGGCTGGCAGCACTACCCACTAACTGGAATGAGGTAAAGAATCCACCATTTTCACAAGGTTTATCTTTGTCACTCTAAAACGCTAGGAGAGATGAGGCCTGGTAACGATGATCAGGTTCCTTTTTCTTAATCCCTAAGTCTCACTTAAATCAAACCACATTGAACTACTTTTATATCAATAATGCTCCCAAACACCATAAAAACTGCAGACGGTCACTGCCCTAATTAGTGAAAAATTTAACTCTGCTGCCATTTAAAGCATAGCAGTGTGTTGGAGTGTTATTATGTTGTATAAATGCTGGACTAGAAAAACTCTGCTATTTTAGATCATTATCGGCATTCTCTGAACGTGTGTGTGTGTGTGTACACAATGCATTCTCAGAATATATATATACATGTGTATATATTCACAATAACCCATTAAAAGTTGTATGAAAGCTAAGAGGATTACAGAGGCATCTATATTATCAGTTTTGCTCTTTGATTCATCTTGCGTCATTTTGGTTACTGAGGAAGAAAGGACATGGATGAAGTGATATTTAAAAATAAAGAAATGAGTTTGCCACACAACAGGACAATCTGAGTATTATCTGTGCTAAGGAAGGACTTTATACTCTCTAGAAGAGACATAAAGACTTCTGAAAATAAATTATTTTTAAAAATCTGCAGACACACTCCCTCCCATCCCTGCTGTGATGGTTCTTGCTCTCAAGGTTAAGTTGAATTAGGAGCAACATTCGAAGATGTAAAATAGGGTGTGTGCTGACAAACTTGCCAGGATAACAGGCTGTACAACTTGAGGTGAATTTATATTGTTTAAGAAGTACAGAAAGGTTAGAAGACTGGCTTATAAATAAAGAAGTAGAGCCCATTGAAAGCCTGGTTCTTCTCGTCTTCTTCAGTGACGTGCTCCACGATCTTCTCTCCTTAGGAGGCTTTTTCCATCACCCTTTTTCTGCACATCCTCTCTGAAGCGAGGTCAGTAATGTGTGGCCCAAGCGTTATTAGCCTCTTCCATGTTAGAAGCACCTCTCTCTGGGGCAGTGAGTCCCACACTTCCCTGGTCAAAAGAATCACCTGGATGCTTGGGAAATATTCAGGTTCCCAGGCCACAGCTCCGATGTCAGGAATGGAGGACAGGGGGTCTTACCTCTTGTCCACTGCCTAAATAACTGCCATTTGTCCAAGCTACGTGTCCCTCCACACACACAGCTCAAAGGCCCCCACATCCTGGAACCAACTCACTTTCCTGCTCAGGTCTGAACTCCAGGCTGCCCGCCTCAGTGGAAAGCTGCTGCCGTCGCACTGAGCTCAGCGGAGAAGGGATGTGAAGAAGGTCATATCTCTTTGCCCCCCACGACATCACTTTCACAAGACCATGCACATATAGCAGACTAGGTTGGAGGATTGGGGGAACCTGATGGGATTTATAGAATGAGAGAAAATATTTTACACTGTATATAACTAGACTATTTTCACAATCTAAAGAAAGCAATAGCACAACTAGAAAATGAACCGTCGTCAGAAGCAACACCAGTTTCTACACTTGCTGCCCTGCCTGAGGTCTGCCTTCCCCACAGGGCTCCCACTTCAAACCCATGGCAGGCCCCACTTTCCTTTAGACCATTCTGCCCTCTAGGATCTGTCCCAGTTGGGAAAACACACAGGGCCCAAGCCTTCCATACCACATTTCTCAGAGCCAGAGTTAGGGTAGAATGGCCCAAGGAAGCGTGTGGAAGGGGTGAGTTTGTGGGGGGAGGGAGGCGGCTGTGAGAGCCCAGGACCAGCTCTCCTCAGAGCCTCTCCGTTCGTGAGAGCCCTGTCATGCTCTTTCTTCCTGGTTATCCAGTAGGCAGGTGGCTCTCATGATCCCGTGTGTGCGTGCGCGCACACAAAGAAACTCACAAGCATACACAAACGAGAACAAAAACAACAGCAAACAAGCCAAGAACAAAAGTCCTCAATATTCAAAGATAGCGACTCAATTTTCAAAGTCCACTTACTTCAATTTAACCCTGCCTTTGATGGCGAGCCAGATACACTAGTTTCCCTGGGTTCACCCTTGTACTTCAAAACCATGCCTAAATACCTACATTTTGCAAGAGACAATTCCTAGTAATACTCCTTTTATTGCAACAGAGTTCACTGACCCCTGTAGTCACGTCTGACCATCCAGAGACCTCATCGAAGCCTTGCAAGCGCTGACTGCTTTTCTTTATCTTAGATCAGGTCAATTCCGAGGTAGGGTGTGTGCCACCCTGAAAACATAAGCAGACTCATTTATTAAATAAGTCCTTTGTCACTAGACAGCAAACAAATATAGTACCTGCCCTCACGAAGCTTACAATCTGGTGAAGAAGATACCCACAAAAATCAGTGAACAAACAATATGCATGGTTACAACTGCAATAAGCACTTTGAAAAGACTAAAATGGTGAAATAATAGACAACAAAGGAAACTCACTTAAGATATGGTGGTCAGAGAGGGCCTTTCTGACATGATCATACATAAGTATTGACACATGTTGAAAAGAGATTCTCTTAATGGGATTAGCATGTGCAAAGGTCCTGTGGCAGGACAAGTCTTGGCTGTGCTGGCAGCAGAGGTGAAGTTGGAGAGGTGGCAGGGGAAGATTACATAGGTCTGGTATGTTACAGTCAGAGTTTAGGTTTTATGCTGAGTGCCATGGGACTCCATCGAAGAGTTTTAAGCAGAAAAGTTAAATAATTGAATTTATGTTTGAGAACAATTACTTATCTAGCTGCTTTGTGGAAAATAGACCAGAGATGGACAAAAAGTTCTATTCAGATCCACCCTGGGTGGAGTAAGGGAGTGGGTGAAGAGTTATTCTCCCAGCTACAAATATCTATTCATCTTCTAGCCATGGAAACAGTTTTAGCTCTGATGATCGTTACCACACAACTGCCTCCCTCCTCCCCTCCTTTCCACCACCCACTCACCTTTTGTTCTCTCTCTCCCTCTCTCTGTCTCTGTCTCTCTCTCTGTGTGTCTCTCTCTCTCTCTCTTTCTCTCCCTCTCTCTCCTCTCTCACTCTTTCTTCTCTCTCCTCTCTCTCTTGCTCTCTCTCTCTCTCACACACACACACACATACACGCTCTTCTTAAATTCCCCTTCTCTCCTCTGCTTACTTGTCCCCATTTATCCCTTGTTTAAAGTCTTTCCATCATTTTCAGTTCGTGTGTTCTTTCTCCAGTATTTTTAACATCATGTGTGACTAATGTTACAATAAAACTCCAATACTGCAGGAGTTATAGCATTTAAAATTTTGCTCTATTTAAATTTCCATTTCCAAAAAGCTCTTCTTTATGCACTATATGGCTCATTCCTTATGATTCTACCTCTTGAGAATAGTGACATGTTTGGGAAGTTTCTCTTCAGTTATCTGCCTGCACTGTTTAACTGATTCCACGTGCCATAGAGTGTGGATTCAGAGAGAGCTTTGCTCAAATCTCTAAGCCTTAAATATTACCTCTCTGACCTTAGGTAACTTCTCTGAACCTCCAGA